ACTCAGAGCTTATTCAGTGCAAATGGAATGTGATCTGACATGCCTTGATTCTGCTGTCACAGAGGCCTGAATGTGGTCCTTCAGGTTCTGAAGGGAAATTTCAGTTTCTTAGTGGAAATCTTGCTTTATTTCTGGGGAACGAGGTTGTAGCTAAAAGTTCAAGAAATGTAGTCCATTAGCGAGGGCATGTAATTTTCCATTACTAAAAAGAAAACCAAAAAACACTGTTCTGTGAGGGAAAAGGGAATGAAGTGGGAAGGACCAAAGGAAAGCAACATCCTGGAAGTTTGACTCATAACACAAGAGTAATGGGGCAATACTATGATATAACAGAAGAAGATTACCTCCAAGAGAACAAATTACAATAGTTCAAAGACTGAAGAATGAAGAGCCACCTATGAGTACCGTGACAGATGAAGATGACATAAAATCAAGACAAGCCAAGGTCTAAATGTGGAAATTATCTTTAGTGAGTCTTACATTTCAGAGAGCAAAGACAATATGGCATTCAGACTTGCCTTGTTTAAATTTTGTAATTTTCCTTTCCCCCCTGCCAATAGCTTGTTTTGGTATCCAGATGGGGTAACCACAGTTTAAGTGTGCGAGGAGCCAGTTTAGAGCTTTCTTTCTATAAGCACATTGCTACATCTATACAAGTGAAGATAAGCCTTAGATCCTTCAAACTATATATATGTATATATATATATATAGCTATATTTAAAAATGAATCCTATCACTAGATAAGTTGATCAGAAAATATATAACATCAACAGGAACGTAGTGAAAATAACAGTGTACATGGGGTCAGAACATCTACATTCAAACCACAGATCAGTTGCTTATATGTCCTGTGAATCTAGGCAAATCATCTTATTTCTTTGAGCCTCAGTTTCCTCATTATAAAATGGCTCTTACTATACTTCTCCCAAAGGGTTATTGTGAGGATAAATTAATGTAAAGTACTTTGTAAACCTTAAAGATTTAATGGGAAGAAGGCAGGGTGGTAGGAAGAGAGAGAGAGAGAGAGAGAGAGAGAGAGAGAGAGAGAGAATCAATTAATACTATTATCATCATAAGGATATATGCAACTTGAACTCCCACTTAAATCAAAAAAAATTTTTTTTTTCCTTTTTTGGTGAGTCAATTGGGGTTAAGTGACTTGTCCAGGGTCACACAGCTAGTAAGTGTCAAGTGTCTGAAGCTGGATTTGGACTCAGGTCCTCCTTACTCCATGGCCAGAGCTCTATCTACTGCACCACCTAGCTGCCCCTACTCAAAAAAATTTTTAAACCATAGTAGGGAAGGATGTGTGTGTGTGTGTGAGTGTGTGTATATACATATATATATGTATATATATATATGTATACATATATATATATATGCACTCCCATTACCAATGTGCAGTTTTATTGGCATTTTAATATAGCTAGCACCAGTAGTGAAGAATTCCTTTATGTTGGACTTTATAAACTTGGCTCTGGTAATCTAGAAAGACATTTTTAGTAGTCTGACATTGAGTTCAATAAGGATCAATATCCCTAGAGTATACATATGGAGAGAGTTATTTTGGTCTAGTTTTTTAGATCAGAAAGGATAAGTCCATTTGAGTTAAATATACAATTTCCTACAAATACAAATTTTGAAAATAATGTCCATGTCATATTTTGACAGAAAAAATATTTAAAATTTTAAATGTTTAATCTCATCACGAGGCTTCCTTGAAGTGTTTTGGTTTTGTTTTGTTTTGTTTTGTTTTTTCCTGTTACTACATATAACAGACATACTGACTTTAGGTTTCTATAGCCAGTACCTCACACTGTGACTAGGACATAATGTTTCTATTTCCAAAATTACATATTCTATTGATCTTCCTTTGGCTGTTCTGTTCTCTTTGAAACCTCTGCATGTGTTGCTCTTTTTTCCATATAAAATGCCATTTTTTTTCATTGTTTCTATCTAGCCTAATTCTTGGTCACGTGGATTGTTTCCAGTCAGGCATGAAAACTATTTGTTTTTCAGTCAGTCCTCCTGTCTTTCTGGAAGGAAAGTCATCTCTTCTTGGACACTTCATAAAATTGCATCCATATACAAATTAAATTGTAAAGATTCATTTTTACTTCCCTTTCAAAGATTCCTTCACATCCCTTTATATGTAAAAGTTAATGATATGTGAGATCCACTGAAGAAGCTAAGGACTTTTAGCAAGGAGAAGAGACTTATGGGGCCTATCATATGGAAAAGAGACTAGACTTGTTTGGCTTGGTCCCCAAAGGGAAAAATAGGAATAATGTCATGCTTATTTTAATAGTAGCAGAAATAAAACAATGGAAGGGAAATCAGCTGAGAAAAATATTTTAACTCATTTTAAATGTAAAATAATGTATTTTTTATCTGCTGGTTTTGATGAGCTGTTCTCTCCTTCATTAACACAGATAAGGCTAAATTTCTATAGCACATCTCTTAGGAACAGGTGGAGTTAGATTATCTGAGATACTCAACTAGTTTGTAAATCAGTTCATTATTTCTGCCAACACTATATAATATAGCTAGTTCTTATTCTAATGTGAAGGTGGGATTCCACCCTCATTACAATCAATCAATTAATCAATCAACAGAGCAAACTAGGTATTAGGGATTCTATAACCTAGCCTCAATGTTTGGACAAGCCCTTAATTAATTTGAAAGGATTCCAGGATGTTTGGCCATTGGATGAAAGACAAAGGACACCACACAGGAAACAGTTGAAAAGATTCAGTTACACCTCTTGGGATACATCTAAAAAGAGCAATTAGTCCAGCAGGGAGCTCAGTTCAGCAATGGACTCCAGGCATGTGAGGGCCTTGAAGAGATAGTCTCTTGCACCTGTACCAGCTCAAATCACAGGGAAGGAGAGGAAATGAAGAATCCCCAAGGGACCATTACATTTTCCACCTCCCACTGACCATGTTATTGGAGAGACTAGACCAAAACAGACAGCACATCTCTAGCCAGGAGGCAAGAAAGATACACTAAAGATAAGCAAAGATAAAAAAGACACAAAAATAAAGATAGTCATCCTAGGGAGCAAGCAGCTTCAAGGAATGTGACCTATTGAGCCAGAAAAGAATCTAAGCTATGGACTGAGGAAAGGAGCTGTGTGCCTTGACATCCTTGTATTCACTTTGAACTCACTCTCCCCAGAAGCCCGTGTGTGCGTGTGTGTGTGTGTGTGTGTGTGTGTGTGTGTGTGTGTGTGCGGGCGCACGCACATGTGTTTAGGGAGAATGTACCACTGGGAGGTGGGCTGGTTTGGGAAGAATGTTTTCTACTGTTCTTATTACACCATCTTAATAAATACCTTTATTAAAAGTCAGTTGAGATTACTGGCTGACAATCAATGGCAAGCAGTGGTAGGAGTTTATGAGGAACAGGAGTAAACACTGCAGCCCCTCAGGATTACCCCTCCATCCTTTAGGGGAATAAGTAGCAATAGCATTTGAGGAGTGACCCTTGATGGAGTGATCCGCTAAAGAGAAAGAATGCATTCTTATCCCTCAAAGAAATGCCTCTAAATGGGATTTCCAGAGCGAATGGAAAGTGTTTCTTAACAAAAATTCTTTAGACCACCACCCTAAAGCATAACTTTGGTCAACCACTTTTATTCCTGCTTTGTTGTCTATGAAAACATTATCAAGATTTTTTCCTGTGTGCCAAAGGTTGTGCAAACCCTATAACATCTAAAGTATAATATGAATCATTTTATTATTAAAACGCCAAATATGGGAATCTTAAGAACTAGATAATTATAGGGACTGAAACAAAAAGTTACACCAAGATATAATTCAAGTTCCCATCATCAGGCAACATTCTCCATTGGGTAGATAAACTGGCATTAAGCTGATCCACAGACCTCTTTTCCATCCTGGGCCTTGCCACAACCCAGCTTTAACAAAAAAAGTACCACTTCCAAAGCCCTGCCACCCATCAGTCATTACTTCCCCCAATCTCTTTTTTTCTTTAAGATCCTGGTAAATTGGATAAAGCAAGGCTTTTGCTCTGATGGTCTAGCAAAATTCTAGCACTTAGTTCCTTAATGAGGATCAGCTGGAAAAAAAAATTACTTCCAACTACAGTGTGATCATGAAGGTTAGAAGTGACAAATAACCAATCCTAAGAAGAACATAGAATTTTATCAAAAGGGACCTTAGAGATGATTTAATTCAACCACCTCATTTTACAAAAGAGGTACAAAATGGGAAACTAACCTCCAGATCCCAGATTCAAATCCACATCTGATTGAGCAATTGGTTTACCTAGGTCTTCTACCAAATCCCTGTATACTTGTTCTAAATTATTTATCAATTCCTTCCCTTGTAAAGGGAACGGAAACTAGAGAAAGTAGTGGGACACTAAAGAGAGAGAATACTGGATCTGCAGCTGGAGGCCCTGGACCTGGAGTTCAAAGGTTGACTTTGTCACCTACTGCGTGATGGGGCATTTAAGAACCTCTTTGGAGTTTGGTGTTCTCCTCTTACTGTAAGTGAGGGATTTGGTTTATATAATGTTTTGGATCCCTTCCATCTCTAAATCTATGATCCTAAGAAAGCAAAGCAAACTAACTGTCTAAAGATGGGTGTGTCTACTGAGGGTGGACACATGGGGTAGTGGACAGAGTGAAGGGAGTTGGGCCTGGCATCAGGAAGACCTGGATTTGAATCCTGCCTCAGATATCTACTAGCTGGATGACCCTAGGCAAGTTACTTAAGCTTTGTCTATTTCTGCATCTGTAAAATGGCAAAAATAATACACCAACCTCACAGGGTTGTTGTGAGGACCAAGTAAGAAAATATGAGTAAAACACTTTGCAAAACTCAAACGAGCTATATATTATTACATAAATATTAGGACATGAAAAGGGAAGGAAAAAGGAGAAAGGATGAGGAGACAAAAAGGTTTGATATTGCCTTGTTTCTTATCAGAAAAAAAAGGAAACAAATAGTGATAATGGGGATCTAAAATGTATTCATGAAAACCATACCTTACACTAGATATTGGAAGATACTAAAAGAATGTGATTATCAAATATAAGTATGCCAGCTTGTTTTTCCTGAAATTGTTTTATTTTACTACTATCAGCATATTCACTTTTAAAAAGGGACATGATAATACATGAAAGTAAAAGACTGAGTAATGAAAACATCCTATACTCTTCAGCAACACTGCAAGAAAAGACAATGTGGTTCTACAACTAATGTTTGAAAAATACGATGAATATTCCATCAGTAGTCAATAGGACATTAACTCCTAGGAAGTATCGTGGTGGCATGTTGCTTTTTGCTGTCATGTTCAGCAGTGAGACCACAATGTTTGCTACACATTGTCCTATGGCCAGTTTTATTCAGGGTCTTCTATGAATAGGGACCTAATCTAGGGGACCTCCAAGAAATGAGATCTAAGTCTCTCCAGTTCTTCACCACTCAGCAGGAGCTCCAGAAGAAATTCAGGTTGTTTTAGACGTAATATGTTATTGTCAGAACCTCTGCTTTTGGGACTAGTCAATTCTCTGGGCCAGTTTAAGGCCTCTGGGTAACTCCCTCCCACTTATCCTGGGCCTGTGTAACTCAGAATGGTCCAGGAACCTGAAAGTTGCCCTGAAGTTTGTATGACACAGCCTGTAAATAAATGCCTTTTTGCTACCATGTACCTGGTAACAAAAGCACCTTGGTCATTGGGTGCCTCAACAATTTATGATTCCATTCAGGATACCCATTAATCATCCTTGGGAGGCTCTAAGTTTCTCTGAGGTCCTGCACTATTTAATACAATTCACTCGATGATAGTCACTGTCTTAGAAATGAACTGTCTTTCTCTTTTACATAGTTTAATAATAAACACTGGACTATTTTTGTGGGAAAATTTCTGCTTCAATTATTACCAAGTGATGGCCCTGCAGACTGCTGAAGGGTATGCTGCTGATTCTATTTTTCCAGGTTGGGGGCGGGGGATGAATCACTTTTGAGAATCAGGAAAGTCCAAAATAAGTACATTATAAATACAGTATGTGACCTGCAGGGAGGGAAATCTGAAAAAGAGGCTGTAGCTTGAAAAAAGAGCTTTCTGCTTCTTGCCCTATTTCTGGTGAACGAGCAGCTTTTTTCTTTCAACAAATCATTACTTTCCAAAAAGTTGGTTGATCTTCCATAAGTCGGCAATCATTCAGCCAGAAACAACTGGAGTTTACCATCCAATGTGGCTGTGGCAAGCTGTGATTGAAGAAAAAGGGGAAAAAAACAGTTTCAATATTGTTCTCATTTAACCAAAAATTCACTATTGTGGAGTAAAAATTCACAATAATAATAGTCTCAACTAAAATCCCATCTTCCTCAAAAAGTTTTTCCCAACCCTCTTAATTTTGTGCTTTTCCTCTGTTAATTATCTCCTATTTTTTCTGTATCTAGCTTGTTTGTATATGTTTGCTTGCACATTCTCTTCTCCATCAGACAATGAGCTCCTTGAGGGCCAGGACTTTCTTATGCCTCCTTTCGTAACACCAGTGCTTAGCACAGTGCTGCCACATATGATGCACTTTAAAATGTTTATTGATTGATTAATAATAGCTAGCATTTCTATAATGCCTACAATGTGCCAGGCACTATGATAAGGGCTTTTGTAAATATTATTTCATTTGATCCTCACAATTATTTTCCCCATTTCCAGTTCAGGAAACTGAGGTAAATAGAGCTTAAATGACATGCCCAAGATCACATATCTAGTAAGTGTCTGAAGCTGGATTTAAACTTAGCTATTTCTGACTGTAGGCCCAGTGCTCTATCCAATGTGCCATTTAATTGCTATTATTTACTAGTAAATTGTTAGAAACCTGAATTTAAACCTGGTCTCAGCCCAGCTATATAACCCTGGACAAGTCACTTAATATCTCAGTTTCCTCATCTGTAAAACTAGGATAATAAAAATATCTACCTCCTAGGCTTGTTGTAAGGATCAAATGAGATAATATTTGTAAAGTACTTTATAAACCTTAAATCACTACATAAAGGCTAGCTATTGTTATTATTATTATTATTATTATTGTTATCACTTATTTAGCATCCCAATGTTACTTTGATATTTTAAGTCTTGGTTCAGACTCCATCTGAATAATGCCACAGGAATGTCCCATAGAATCACAAATTTAATGCTGGAAGTTATTAAGTTTTATCTATTTCAAGCCCTTCATTTTACGGATGAGGAAACTGATGCTTAATGAAAATGAAGTGAAATAGTAAGTTAAAGAGCCAGGATTGGCCCCCAGATCCTCTGACTTCAAATGTAGTGCTATCTCTATCATGTCAGTAGTAAACTCTGTTAAATACCTGTGCTGTTAATTAATTACTTTGAGTCTGAACACAAGTATATGATTTCTCTATTTTTACTTTCGTTGTTGGTTTTTGTTTTTTGTTTTTTTTTGGCTAGGCAATGGGGTTAAGTGACTTGCCCAGGGTCACACAGCTAGTAAGCGTCAAGTGTCTAAGCCTGGGTTTGAACTCAGTTCCTCCTGACTTCAAGGCCAGAGCTCTATCCATTATGCCACCTAGCTGCCCCCTATTTTTACTTTCAACCTGGAAAAGACAACAAAAAAAAAGCTGTTGATTTGGTAAAGAAACTTAATTGATTCACCAAAAATCTCAATATTTCAATTTCCAATGCTCATTGGAATGTGTTCTGATAATGATCCATTCAATTGCAAAATTGATTATTTCTTTAATAAAAAATAAGCATATAAAACATTTGTCAACTGAAATTGGATAAGTAAATTTCATTTTGCCTTACATCATTCACCACAATTCTTCTAAGTAGATGTGATACAAACAAGCTCAATTACATAAGAGGCTATCTAAAAGAATATTCTTACGGTGATTATAATTCTGTTCGCTCTTGTGATAACAGATAAAGCAATTAACTGTATCTGCCCCCTTAAGAAAATTCAGTCTATGAAAATGTAGATTTATAATAAAGGTTACTTAGCCATTTATTTAATTAATGAGTAATTATTCTCTCTTCAAAAAGTTTCACACAAAAATAATTATTATAGTAATTCTTCTAACCACCCTATGCTTCTACTTATTACCTACATGCAAATTATTCCTAAATCTTTAGGCCTGACATTTCATTTGTGTTTCAATTTCATATTTCAGAATGCCATAACTAATGGCAGAAGAAATTAAATACACTCTATTAATAGAGAGAAAGTAACTGGTTATAGGCAAAGCCTTAATTTCAGAATTGGACATCTAATATACCAGGCTAGATGAAGATGAGAAGTAAAATGAAAATGAGATCCCTGAAGATGAGAAGGAAATAAAAACACTGTAAATGATTGCAGCAGATCTAACCTGACCTGTTTGAATAGAACGCAACTAGAGATTCACATAGACCAGAATATAAGCAGGGATAGAAGGTCCAGTCAACAAGGATTTATTAAGCATTCATTATGTGCCAAGGCACTGAGCTAAGCACTGAGTTGGGCTCTATCCTAAGAGCTCAAATAGAGCAAATGAGGATACTTCCTAACAGAGAGTCAAGGTAAAGTAGAGCTGAGAAAATGTTTGGGTAATTTTGTGAAAAGGCATGTGCAACCTGTGTAAGGTACATATGTCCACATGGGCTGTTTAAATACAGCTTGATGAAGGGAGGCATTGAAGACTTCAATTCCTACATTGAGGGGAGCAGAAGGGGTCACACAACTACCTAGTTTGTTCTCCAGTCTCTGGAAAGAGGACTGAACTAGAATTATATGTGACTCCCTAAATACAGTTAGCCTAGGGGAAAGGTTTTTAGATTTAAAACAAGAGCTGACAGCTTCTCTGGTTGCTATCCCTCATAAGGGGAAGGGCAGCCCTTAGTTTACACTAGCCATTTTGACTAGTGAAGAATAAGTGTTGACTTCAACTGAGCTAACCAAAGAGTGAAGACTGGGGAAGGAGGAGAGTAAAGTCAGAGCAGGCCTAATGGTCTAAGAATGTACTGAGGGATGGGGAGAATCAGAGGTGGTGATGAAGGTACAGAATAAGATTATGAGGGGTGAGGCATAGGGAGAGATGATACAATAGCAGATTTTGATTAGATAAAGGAATGTTTTGTTGTTTATAAAAGAAGTAGAATACTGGGGGGTAATGTCGATATCCAGGGTGTTATCATCCCTGTATGTGGTTGAGGTGGAATACAAGAGATGTCATATGAGATTATTGGGAACTAAGAGTCTAAGATATTTGGGGAGTCTTCAGTATGACTGCTGAGGTCCCCTAGTAGAAGGGCAAGGGTTGGGAAGGAGAGGAAGAGAGTGATCCAGGCACTGAACTCCTTGAGAAAAAAAAATGAAGAATATGGGGATTAACAGATAAGCCATCTTGATCTGTATATGAGAAAATAATTAATAACTGAACTCCAAAAGGTTTCTGAGTTGTGGCAGTAAAGGAAATGGCAATTGACAGCAAAGAATATTCCAACTACCCCTCCACAGGACAAATGTGTCAGTGGTGAAAGTGAAGATATATCTAGTACTGAAGAGGATAGCCTGGAATGCTGGGGGAATCTGGGGAAAGCCAGCTCTCAGTGAGAGCAAACAGATTGAAGGAACATAAGAGGAAGAGGTTCAGAATGAAGGAAAGTTTATTTGTTTGGAGTGGGAATTCCAGAAGGCATAATGGAAAGGAGTAGGGAGATGGAGTGGGAAATGAGTGTGGCAGGGCAAGGTTGAGTTGGGTGGAGATGAGAGAATAGGAGGTATAAATTAAGGGTCATTTACTCTTAGCTATCTGTTAATAAGGAGAATAACAGGTAGTAGGAGTTTGCTAACCATAGAGAGTATTAGTAGTGACAGATGAGTTGTAATGGTCCCAACTACGATGAGGTGGTGTTACAGGGCAAAGATCAGAAATGCCAGGTCTTGGTTACCACATCTCTTTTTCTGAACTGGCTGGGGTTGGGGTAGAGAATTTCCAGGGAGCTAGAAAACTCACAGGGCAGCTAGATGTCAGAATGGATAGAGTGCCGGGCCTAGAGTCAGGAAGACTCATCTTCCTGAGTTCAAACCTGTCCTCATATATTTACTAGTTGTGTGACCCTGACTTAATCCTATTTGCCTCAGTTTCCTCATCTGTAAAATGAGCTGGAGAAGGAAATGACAAACCACTCCAGTATCTTTGCCAAGAAAACTTCAAATGAGATCACAAAGAGTTGCACATAAATAACTAAAATGACTGAACAATAGCAACAGGAAACTCACTGGATGTCAGCAGAGAAAGTGCTGACAAATGAGATCATGGATCTAGGACAAAAGCAATTTTTTCCTAAAACTTACTAGAATGTTAATCAATAAAATGGTTTACTTAAAATCAGTGATCAAAAGCAACATATATATACACATATATACATAAAGCTACTTGTCTCTGTCATAACACTACCTTCAAAAAGACAAGACTGAAAGGGGGAAAACCTAGTAGGTCGGATTAAATTTGTGCAGCTTTGACAAGTAGCACAAACATATTACTATTTGGTCCATATTTCTTTCATGTTTGTCAGGGTACCAGGCATTTTTATACATCAATAAAATGTTGAGGTTTTCCAGGCTGAATGTACTATGTATTTAATTCTAGAAGTTAAAAAATAAAGGACATTAGTAATGTATTGGAAGGGTAAGCAGATTTTGTAGTGAATGTAGGTCAATGCATAAGATGCTAGGAGATTTTAAATCTTCCTTCAGAAGACAACACTGAATAAAATCTGATTCTTTGTTGGACCAGAATTATGCTTACTTAAGGGTTCCAGATACATCTCAAACCCAGGGACATGAGCAAAATCAATTCTAGCATTTTCACTGTTATCTGGTATATATCAGGAATAGTAATGGTGAACCACACACATTTTGCATAAACTGTGAGGCTTATCTACTTTTAAATAACTCAGTCTGAAAGACTCTGCTGAAGATGTTACACTAATGGCTTCCTGGAAAGAATGATAAATATTGCTTATAGCAGGTTTGGAAGCATCACAAAACAGTCTTTTGGATCATTTTCTACTTTTTCTTGGAGCACTTTTATTTTGCAGGGGGCTGAGGAGGCGTGGGGAGGGAAGATGGGAGGAAGTCACCAGGAAGTAAAGAAGTAACAAAGTCTATTGTATAAACATCAAGTTCCCATTCACTAGTGGACTCAATTTGTACTTTGGCTAAGAATTTAATCTCTTTGTGCCCAGGCTTCTTTAA